TCTGGAGGCAAAATTGGGTCAGCCTCTGTCTGGACACTAACTGGAGCGAACGGGGCGAACCGCCGAGACAAAACTCCTGCTGGTCCTATCCTTACGGAACGACCGACCACGTCAAAGCGCAACATCCTGACACGAAGTACGTTCGGTCTGGAAGAAAAGAGTTCTTCCGCTCATTCATATCAGTGTGATAGTGAGACAATGCAGCACTTTGACCCTGGGAGTTTTAAAAGCCTGGGGACCACAAACCAGACCATGGAGGATCTCGTAGGCGTAATTGGACTAGGCACAATCGTACCATTCTAAAGCTCCCTTTCTATGCAACATATCAAATAATGATTTTCCTTTTAACGCCACCATTCTTTAGCTCTTTGTCTGTCTGAGGTGGAATACAGGGAAGATCGAAATCAGTTTCACCACTAGCACAAAGAGATTCTCTCTCGAACCTGTCCCAAAACACGCCATACCTATTACTCTGCCCCTGAATCCCTTTCTTAGCAGTATTCCAGTACAGTCGTAAATGATAAATTAGAAATAGCTTCTGTATTAGACTCGTATGGTTTTTAAGGTGACTAGAACGTTACAACTTTATTGCAAACAAACCAAACTGATGGGGGACTTATTTCGTTAGCTGGCTATCTGGCAGGAAGTCGAGATGGCGAAGTATGACGGAAGAATAATTCCGTCAGTTCACCCTTGCTCAACCTCTGCTCAGTAAGCTGCGGATATCTAAGTAGTGCCCGTTGCAGGGGCCACAACACTACGTGCGGGTTTATCCATGGCATGTCGCAAGATGGCGAGCTTACTCTTTCCAGCTGGCTGGCTAGGCTCGGATCAAGCCGGTTCTGGGCGGCACAAGATCGTAGAAATCAAACAACTATCACGTCGTCTTGTGACTATCACTTCCTAGAGTTACAGGGCCTCAGACTCTTTGGTTCAAAGATAGAAACTATGTTGAGCGATATATGAAAATAGCAGTACAATTTTATTGTCCAATTCCTGCTCGCATGAAAATTTCTCTGCTTCAGCGAACTTGCCCTGATCACGGTATAGGATGCCGAGACATTGTACAGCGTTAAGGGTTGAAGTGTTGTCCGGCCCCAGCGCTTCCTCGTACCCAGCTATCGCCCGCATATACACCTGCTCGACTTCGTCCAACATGCCTTTGTCGCTATACAGCAAGCCGAGGCCGAGGCATTGCACGGCGTCAAGGGTTGAAGTGTGGCCCGGTCTTAGGGCGTTCTCGAACCCAGCTAGCCGTCGCATGTCGGTTCGCTCAGCAGGAGCAAGCTGAGTTTTGTTCTCGAGAAAAGAATGACTGCCATGGGAAGGTTAGAATACCCCCCAGATGACTAAGGTACTGTCGAGGAATGTGGAGTGGTAGATTAGCACTACTGTAAAGTTGATTTGACTCAGCGTGTGTCTCGATTTCTTTGTCTGGCCTAGAGATTTACGACACGGCAAGTCACCAGGGCTTTAACCCCTTTCAGTTAGTGCGTGAGGATACCTCAACGTCAATCATCTGATCTTGGGATTGGTTCCCCTGGCCTTTTCTAGACCCATCTATACGTAATCAGGAGGATCAACCGGTGAGAAAGGCCCTAGGTGCAGTGGGTGTGGGCATGGTGGCCACAAGACCAAGTCATGTACTCCGTAAATTCGCTAAATTAGGTTGAATTTTCATCCTGGCTGATGTGTTTTGAAGAAAAAAACATTAATGGGGTGGCTGACAGGCTTTACTGTGTGACCCGTTTACCTGTGAATTACGTTAAATGACAAGACGTTAGTCCAGAGTCGCAAAGAAGTAAGAATGAAGAAAACATCTAGCCGTGTCACGGGACGACCCCCCACCCTCGGGGTGTCCCTCAGCCAAATTGCAATTCTCAGCCATATTGCAAATTTCCTACTTTTTCAACTTTACGCGTATTCCTAGCCACCAAAAATGCCTAAAAAATCTCGTGATGAGGAGGCTATTCTAGCCAAGGCATTAGACGACTATAATATGCAAAAATTCTCTTCCCTACGTAAGGCTGCGGACCATTATCGCGTGTCGTACTCGAAGCTCCGCGGTCGCAAAATCGGACGGACATCTCTCTCCGATCGCCCTACCACCAATAATGCATTGAATTCGAATCAGGAAAATGCATTAATTAGCTGGATCGAATTGCTAAATTCTTGCTATACACCTCCAACTGCAAAAGACATTGAAACTGCCGCAAATCGCCTATTGAAAATAGCAGGTTCGGAGAGAGTTGTCGGCCCAATGTATAGCTATCGGCTTATACGTCGTCTACCTCCACACATCAAGCTTATTACCCAAAAACCAAAGGAATCTTTACGAATTCAAGCTGAGGACCCCGGGGTTATTAGCCATTGGTACGATAGGCTTGAGTGTCTCTACCGTGAGCATAGGTTTGAACCTCATGAGATCTACAATTGGGATGAAACCGGCTTCCAAAATGGCGAAGGACTCAACCAACATGTCGTCTCTACGCGTCAAACTGCTAGCATTGCTACTGGAGATCGAGGTGAAACTATTACTGGCATTGAATGTATTGCCGCTGATGGCTGGGTGATGTTTCCATGGTTTCTAGTCAAAGGCAGCGTCCACATGGAAGACTGGTATAGTGATATATCAACCTCTTCTTCGGCGTATAAAATCATCCATTTGACGTCTAGTGGCTGGACGGATAGTGAAACTGCCTACCGATTGCTCTGCTCGTTTCATGAAGCTACAAAAAACCGCGTACGACGCGGGCGACCGAGGCTTTTGCTAATGGATAATCATACGTCTCATACAACTATCGAATTCCTCGATTTTTGTAAGGAAAACTTGATCATTCCTTGGTATTTTATGCCTCACACGACTCATATATGTCAGCCCCTTGATGCTGAGGCTTTTTTAAGCCTAAAGCATGAGTTTAAAATGGCGAATACTGAAGTTATGGCGTGGGGTGGAAGGAATGAAAAATGCGACTTTTTCCGCAATATTGACGCCGTCCGACGCCACGCCTTAAAGTCCAAAACTATCCAAACCTCGTTCAAATCTACTGGTATCTGGCCACTAGATCCGACACAAGTTTTGGATAATTTGGGACAGTATTCGGATAAAGAGGTGCTACGCATGTACGACGAGCCGTCACCCGCCCGCGAATTCCCATGTTCAGCAACTAATTCCCCGCCTAATTCTTATCCGCGCATTGAAAAATTAGAGAATACGGTTTTCCCACTGCTTGATAGCCCGACTCCTGATTTACAAAAATTCGGGAGCATCTACGGCGCGCAATTGATGCCGGAAAATCGTCTCTATACAATGCGGAACTTGCTGAGATGAGCCTTGCGCGCGCCCTTAGCCATAAAACGCCTGGGAAAAAACCTACAAAACGCAAGCGATGGGTAAAGGGTGCTACAAAGAGTCCCCTTTCATCGATTTCAGGCAATAGGCTAGTACAGCGTAGGTCTGAGAAAGAAGATGAGTCGAAGCTTCGAGCTTGGCGGAAAGACGCAGAGAAAATGGCAGCTGATTTAGCGGCGAAGGAATTGGAGGAAACGCTTGAAAGTGAGGATAATGATACATTATTGGCTAATGAGGCTATTGATGGGCTTTATTTCATGGATCCTGGACCTTATACGTCTAAAAAATGAGCTAGAAGTTGAAGAAATTGAAAATTTGCAATATGGCTGAGAATTGCAATTTGGCTGAGGGACACCCCCTACCCGAAGGGTGGGGGGTCGTCCCGTGACACGGCTATAGCTTTACTCTACTAACTCGGTGGCTTTGAGGAATGGATCGCTCATCAGTTTGCCCCGGTGGAGCCCGCTAGGATTCGTAACCTTCAACTTCTCACCGGGGTCATTTTACCGGTCCCTTTTGCTAAGCTTCCCGGCTAAGGAACGTGCGCTCAAGGATCGGTCGGGCGTCCGGATTTGCTGCGAGGCTAAAAAGTCATCACAAGACTTCCCCCATTTCAGCCATGCTATACGGCGTACACAAGTTGTACCTAGAATTTACTATAAAAACAAGCCCGAATAAGTGCACACTTAGCTGGAAGTACGCATGTGTGTGTCCTCTTTTCCAACAACAATTCGCCCCAGTTTCCATCAGTCTCAAGGGCCTCACTACAGCACAAGATGTCCGGCGCTTACTCTCAAGCACGAATGCAGCACCAGATCTTCTCCAAACCACGCAAGCCTCTGAAATCTCCAGATCGCCTGGTCGCCTTGCGCCAAGACTACATCACTAACTCGAAAACAACCCTCGTCCTCCGTCCCCAAGGCGACGCCCAATCTGCGGTTGCATACAACGTAAAAGACCAAGACGGGCAGACGGTCTTCACCGCTAGTGGATGGAAATACAATAATGGCTCCTGTCGGGAGGTCCGCGATGCCACTGGGTTGCCTCTCTTTGAGCTCCACCGAAAGATCTCCCTCAAAATCACATGGTACATCACTCTGCCGGGAGATGACCGCGGAGTGACGTTGGCCACTTGCACTCCACGATTTGCACCCGCCTTTGGAAACTTTAACATCACCCTGAGAAATGCGGCTGCCTGTGACACAAAGTCGTTAGCTGGGAAGGAGCTCACCCTAGCGATAGAGCGGCATGGGCGCGTTCTGCAGAGCTTCGACGTGGTTGATGGTGATCGAAGGGTTGCTGAAGTGTGCGAAAGCGTACGCCACAACGACAGATTGGCGTTGACCGCTGGTGCACGGAGGGGTTATCGGCCTGCCCTGGATATCGTCGTCGCTCCTGGGGTCGATATAGCTTTGGTAGGTTTTTATATAAGAATCGCCAAGATTCGCTACAAGTGCTGACTTAACCTTCAGATTGTGGTCATTGCCATCATCGCCTCCGATAGCGTCTTTGGTTCCGAATCCGGCTGAGGTCAACTTATATTGTGGCTATGATATCTGTTCTAGCTTCCTTCTTGACAAGCTGTTGTTCCTGTTTAGATAAAGTATTTCCAACTAGGCACACTTGCATCCATCTATAGTACGCATATTTATACCTCTGCTTCAGTCTGCTGTTTATGTTCCCAGCGTAACTGCTCAATATCATTCTCTTCAAACATGAAATTCCAGTTTGTTTCGTAACCCGTCAGTCGGTGTTTGTGTTCCCCCGGCAAATTCTTCTTCGAACTCTTGCTCCCAACATGCTGCAGTACACTAGGAGTCAATGCCCAACGTATCTCTTTGTTCTCATCAGAGTAGCTTTCCGTAAGCATGTCGACGTACCCAATTCTCTTAGACTCGTACCAGGATACCAAATCTCCGATGCGGGCCTGTGAAAAGACGAACCCCTGAGAGCAGCAGCCGAACTTGGGCATCGCGTGCACTCCGGCAGGCATCGGGAGCATTGTGATCCGCCCAGCAGCAAAGAAGAGGATGATCAGGAGAGGAGTAATGACGAATGCGAGGAGGGGAATTATTTTGTTTGGAAGGTATGCAGCCGTAGCCGGGCGACAGTGGCAGATAGCCGTTGCTATGGCCACCACTCCCAGTGCGGAAAGGAGAGAAGACAAGAGGTAGGTGGGCCATTCTTCCGAGTTCCATCCAAGGAATTATTCAGTGTAGAAGAGTCAAAGGTATAACCCTACTAAAAGATTGATTCATTAGTCCATCATTTCTCCACAGTGCAATTTCCATCGTCATGAGTAGGAAATGGTGCCATGCTTACACTTGTCTACACTTTCTTCGATGGTCTGTTGTTCAGCAACAGACAGAGCGTTTTTAGTCCGATGATACCAGCCATCAAGAGCAATAACATCATCCTCAAGCATCACAGTGTATGACGTATTACTGTAACGGATTCGCACACTCCGAGGAGGTAGGTATAGTCTAACAGGCCCTTTTCGCGGGCAATGGCCTTCGCCTCCGGGATTTGCAAATTGCGGATGTGCTCTACATCCACAGATGGGGGTCGTAGATAAGACCCTTGTCGGCGAGGGCATGAAGCCACGGCTCCACGTACGCCGGATGCTCTGCTGGATTCGAGTGTGCGATCAGGACGATCAGGTATAATATCCTCTCTCTGCCGCCGTATGGCCCTCTAGCACTGACCCTACCGCGCCTTGGAGATAATTTGTACCCTTCCGTGCCACCGAAGTAATCCCCACACATATCGTGGGATGAGCAGATACTTTGGTCTGAAAATGGAGGGGAAGGGTATTATTGTTGGATGTTCTAGGAAGACGTTGGCTTGCTCTCCACGCAGGACTAAGTAGGCGGGCTCGTAAGCCTTGTCTTCTGCGAAAAAAGCCGATGTTGGATCACGCCAACATCGGGTGCGGGCCCAATCTATTGCGAGCCCGAAGAGAAGGGCAAAGGCCAATAGCAGACGGTATATGGGCAAGTTGAGGAACGCAAGGCCAGGTCTCAAAAGGTTCCTTGGTAGAAGCATTTGGAGCGTCTGTCAGACAAGATGTCGTGGCCCAGGAAGCAGTTGACAGCTGACGGCGCCTCTAAAGCAATCAAGTCTGGTTGCATGGACCAAATGTCTCATTTCAGCCTATAACTCTCCAGGCGTCATGGTACAGCGGTTGGGTTGGTTTGAATCCGGGTCCGGTTGGGTTCTGGAGAAGCCTATGCTAGGTGATCCCCCCAGGATAGTCAAATTCCTCGGTATTGGCTAAAGGCGTTACTCGCCTTATGGTGGAGCATTAGAATATTATAGGGGTCACTTGCCCTCTTAAACGGCTTTAGGGAGAAATCGTGGCCTGGGATAGACAGAATCCCCCACGATTCCGATTCTTTTCTTTCCTTTCTTCGGCTTTGATACTTTCGTCCCTAGTACCGAACTGACTCTGTCTTTTCGTCTGAGTTGTAACAATGGCAGGGCATAGTTATCTGAACTGTGGGAGAATCGGTTAATAATGAAGGTCCGTAAGGTTAGGAGACCTCGGCGGTGTATAGTACTCCATCAGACCTTCCGACACTGAACCTACCTTACCTATATTAGGATTAGGACGTAAGAGGCATTGGAAGCTAGACGGTGAGACTTTACGGCTTGTACGGAAGTTCATTTAGCAGTCAAGCCACCAAATAACTCAGTCTACTTGGTCCTAAGCGACTAGGTACAAGCTTCCCACCATGCGCCAATCTCGTGGGTGGCCAGGCACTAAACCAGTTGGCAAAGAAGGCCCTAGCGAGATGCAAGGCTGCTCTTCCCTCAATGTTGAATGGATTCTCACTTCCAAACATTTTTTGACAGACGAGAACATCTTGCCATTTACCTATAGTCATGCAAAATCACAATTAAGAGAATGTCTACGCACTATTATGTCAAGATGTTAAGCATAGAAGCTCATCTAATCTAACGTACTGGTGTCTGGGGCACGTATCAGTTTCCAAAACAAATAGCAGCTTCAATGTCCACTGCAACGCACAGCCCCCGACACATCGGACCTTTGGGACTTTCTATGAACATTGGCTTGCTCTTAGCTGCGCAAGTGCAGATTCTTTGACCCTAGTCAATATTACTGTACGTATGCATAAGTTACAGCACAGGCAGAGTGACTAACATGGACTACTCCCACCGCTCATAGGAAAAGTCTACAATCGGACCCTTTATTACTCTACGAACTAATAGCTAGGAGCTTGCAAAATTGTCGCCTGCTACGATTGCACAGGCGTCTGTAAATTCAGGTACTGTACCCAGCACATTAAGGACTGTACAGCACTCAGCACTCAGCACACGTCCACTAACGACTTATAAAGAAGACTCTACGCCCGTGGAACGCGGTCTTTCTCCTAAAAAACGAGCTAGAGCTAGTAAATACCAATACGACCGACACCCCGATTACTGACGCCCTTGTCAAGTAGCATTCGGTGTGATATGGGAATAGTCTAGCTACATGGACAGGCTCATTCCGGTTCACTAGCTCGATGATATTAGTATGATCGGGTCAGTGGCCGAGGTTGCATCTCAAGCCCAGCCTGCTAAGCCCCGTACATCTTATCCTGTGCAGTTCAGAATATCACTGAATTGCCTTGGATGAATGTTATAAATAGTACTATGGATCCCCCCATCTCGTCTCCAACCTATCCATCGAGCATCGTCTTCCTCATATCAATTTCACTGTACCTCGAAAGTCTCCTTCACAATGCGCGTTTCAATCGCCGCTATCTTTGCCGCTGGCCTCGCCCTTACGCAAGGTGCTCCCGTTGATCCGAATGCCACCGTCTACTTGACCCCTGATGCTGAGAAGGCTATAACCGGCCAATCTCCGAACCCTAACGTCGTCTTTTCGGTGCTGGAAGCAAACAACATGGTCAATGACTGTGGCGACTCTACCTTCATAAACCAGTCCTCAGGCGGCTCTCCGCTTATAAGCGACTGCCAGCAGATAACCAGGAACATTGCCAATGGTGGTACCTGGGAAGTCGAGGACTTTGGTGGACAGCACCAGCTTGTCCAATATGGCACCTGTGCCTTTGGGGTCACTGGTGACAAATCCATCAACGGATTTTACGTCGGCAACTCCGACATCATCGACCTGATCAATTCGTCCATCAGCTTATTTGCATGGGAAGGGTTAGTTGGGGCCAAGGGCGTGATGGGTTGCCAATCACTCACCGGGTTGGTGGGCGGTGCTACTGTTACTTGGGGATTATACCATACCTAGGCTTCATCCAGTCGGAGATGAAAGCTCGTATATGATGTTGTCAAAACATGGAGCGGTAACTTACCGTTAGGATAGGGTTGGTGTAGCACCATGTACCTTAGCCATCTGGAGGTTTTTCCAACCTTCCCTTGGCAGTCATTCTTTTCTCGAATCAATCAACCTTGCCCTGAAACGAAGGAAGGTAGTGAAAGGGTATACTACCTCTACAGTAACTGCAGAGCTGCAAATTTGGACTTAGAAGGAATTCAATCTTGAAAAAAATCATTCACACCGGGTATTTTGAGGCCCGGGTGGTTCCTGGGAAGGGGAAGGCGGCGGCTGCTCTACCCTGAATTTGGCCCCTATGAGAGAGCCGTGCTTTCCTTCGTGGGATAATTATTAGCTTGACACTAGACTCATATGATTTCTGCGTCCAATTTCTGCCAGCGCTAGCGTAGAAGAATAGAAGTTGTGATATGAGGTTGGTGCAGATCAGCAACAAAGCCGCACCACCGGAATTAATTCCGATTTGTCTATACAAAGAACCAGGTTGATTTTAAATCAACTTGATCCTCTTGTCATATATATAGCCTCATGTTTCCTTCTCAATGAACAATCAATTAATTCCTCTGAATTACAACAGAAGGACATCTCCGCATCACCAGACATAAAACCCGCCTGGACACGATTACACAGATCTATCACATGGCTGGCTTTATGGCATTCGATATATGTCCAACGTGGACAGCGAGCCACAAAGGCCGGGGGTCGCTCGTTCTATATCTATGGGTGCCTTAAAGCATTTCAGGGGTTGTAGTACGGACTTTGGGATCACATCCTGGCTATCGTGGCGGAGATATACGTATGTCACCAAATCTACAAACAAGGATAGTCGACTCTTAGCCACAAAACGCCTGGAAAAAGGCCAAAAAGCAAGCGATGGGTACAGTAAAGGGAGCCACGAAAATCTCCCTTTCATCAAATTTTCAGGTAATAGACTAGTACAGCATAGGTGTGAGAAAGAAGAGTAGTCGAAGCTTCGCGCTTGGCGGAAAGACGCAGTGGAAATGGCCGCCGATTTAGCGGCTAAGGAATTGGAGGAAACACCTGAAAATACATTATTAATAATGAGGCTATTGATGGGCTTTATTTCATGGATCCTGGACCTTATACGGCTAGGAAATGAGCTTGAAGTTGAAGAAATTGAGAATTTGCATTATGGCTGAGGGACAGTGGTCCCCCTACCCGCGAGGGTGGGGGGTCGTCCCGTGACGCAGCTATTTGGAAAATGGCTCAACCGTTTGAGAGCTGCCTGACCCTGGTTGTCGGTCGCCTAATTTTCGTTTCTGGAACCTAAGGCCTTTAGCGACGATTGTCTGTCTGATGCTTCGGCGAGGACGAGATCGTGCGTTGTCAGCTCGTATTCTGCCGTTCGAAGGAAGCCGGACGTTCTCTGGGGCGAGGTTTAGGGGTTTTCTTGCCTTCCCATTGGACCGGATGACTTGAGCTAGCCTGTGCAGATAGCCTGCATCTGCCTCCAAGCTAATTAATGAGGGATGCTAAGCGCAAGTCAGAAAAGAAATCTTTCTCTTCCTCTTCATCATGCCTGTCGCGCAGGAAAACTCCATCATGAAGAGTGGAATCCTCGATCGAAGCAGACACAGATCTCACAGCCATAGTCATCGGAGGCACATCGGAAGATCCTTAGCCTCACGCATCAGGCACCTGCCTTTTACATCGGGATGTTTAATCATTGTGATCGCATTTCTTTTGATAACGGGATTTCTCAATTATCCTACTGGTTTGTCCCCCGCGATGGCCATTTTGGATTGAAAGATGTTTTTTATTCCATTGTTATGGGACGCTAATCAGGATGGTATCATTAGCCGACAGGGTAGGGCGTAAAAAAGCGCAATTTGAGCTGATTCAGAGGACCAAGAACTATAACGCTCATTCCACGAATGTAGGCGTCGTTATACCAAAAATACGCTCAGATGACGTGCGGTGGCTTTGGACATACCTCAAGCAACAGTACGTGACAGCTATGGCTTGTTCCTCAGACGTGCTAACAAGGAAGCCGTTCTCAGTAATGACACCACTGCTTTTATTTACTCCACTGACAAACGGCCCGAACTGGATCTACATCTTGCACATTCTCGTCGCGGTCGCGAAGTCTCCGCGTACCTCTCCTACGTTATCGACTACTATGACAACCTACCCCCATACTCCATCTTCATTCACGCGGACGAGAAGCAACGACACAATGACTTGTTCGGGCCCAAGACAAGTACAATACTGCAAAACCTGCGCCCCGAAGCCGTGGAAGCAAAGGGATACCTGAACCTGCGCTGTATGCATTCTCCGGGCTGTCCAAGTCACGTGTCGCCAAACAACCCTACGAAATCCGACATTAAAGCCGGCGATGCCCGGGCACACTTCGCACGAATATATCGGGAGCTCTTTGGAATGAACGTGGTAGTTCCGGATCTGATTGGGGCACCCTGTTGTGCTCAGTTTGCGGTAAGTCGAAACCAAATTCGGCGACGACCAAAGAGCGATTATGTTCACATGATGGGTTGGGTGGATGGGGCAAGTGCGCGGCTAATAGATAGTTATGCCGTTGGTTGGGTTTTTGAAAGCCTATGGCATGTGGTGTTTGGTATGGAAGCAATTGAGTGAGTGGTTCATCTTCCGGGAAACAATGCTTTTGCTTACCGGAGTACTCACCACATCCAGCTGTCCTAGTTATGAACAATGTCGTTGCGATAACTACGGATGGTGCGGACCTCTGGCTTCCGGAATGGTTTTGACACCAATCAGACCAGGAGACATGAACCAGACTATTGAGATATTGGCTCAGCGAGCCTGAGGCCTCAACATCTCTGAATTCATGCGCAACGACCATATAGGGCTTATTAGATGTTTTCTACCGTGGAACTCTTGCAGGTCCGTCGCACTCTCGCTTATTGTATTTTTACTACTACAAATAGCTGTAGAAGTACCTCTTCAGGAAGTCAGAATTAAAACACCTCATTTTCAATGACAAAAACTTCTTCCCAAGAGAACCTCCATAGTCAGATCTTTCAACAGTGTTTGTTGAAACTTGGGATGTCTAATGGTAGGAGATGAATAAAGCATGCAAACAGTCTATTCCAGAGAGGTGTTTAAGTCTGATCTTCCATAGTATGAAAGATCTGCTATATATACGGTCGCACGAGTACTGAACTGGGAGGTGTCAATGCTGACCTAAAGAGATGTGAGGCATCTGAATTGATGCATCATACGATGGACCTTGCATCCATCTCAACAGTGTCAATGGTTGGTGAAAGTGCCTCATATTAGTGGCTTACTGGTGATGAACGGTCCAGGAAATATATTGTTGAGATTCATGGTGCACCAGGCATGGATATCATGATCAGCATTGGACCTACCAACGAGAGTATAGTTCAGATAGGGTCTCTTTCTCAAAGAGAAAGAGACCAGACTTAAACACCTCTCTGGAATAGACTGTTTGCATACTTTATTCATCTTCTGCCGTTAGACATCCTGAATTTCAACATATATATTCAATCACAACGCATTTGCCACATTCGTTTGAGAGCTCAGAAATCCCAAAAGTAAATAGAGTAAAATCTAAGGACTGAAAAAGAAAATCGAAAAAACAAGGTATCCATCTCAACCATGATCATGAGTTCAAAAGTTGACTCTCGTCAACAAGGACGACCAAGCGTCAACGGGTTGACGGGTTGAGTACCCGCGCCCGCGCGACCGCAGCCTGACGCTTCCTGTAGCCTAGACGGACAGAACCACACACAGCTCAGACAATCAACACTCGAGCGAGGCCAGAAAATTTTCATCTTAAAGAAGATGATAATGTGAGCGCTCTCGGTAAAATCAAAGAATGCACAGCTTCCATTGCCTCAGTATTAAGACCGTAGATTCAACAGTGAGCCAACGTTTCTTAACCGACTCACTTTGACTCATTCTCTACTTGACTCTAGTGTTTTCTCGGTGAGCATTTAAAATCACACCGAGAAATTCGCTGCAAATAGTTGCGGTATATGTTACAACAGGCCTCACTTAGGATAGACATCGTGTTCAACGTTTGCTCTCTAGTAGAGCCCGTGTGCTACAGGAGCCGAGAACCTATAAATACGTCCTCTTCCCCCAGCAATTTGTTCTCCATTACCATCACTTGGCTATGCAGAGTCGAGCAGGTCTTCGATTCCTGATAAGTTCTTCCCTTTGACCTACTGGAATTTCACTGTATTGACATCTACAGTTACATCGTGGACCGACAAGCTAGAAAGTGCTTGTGAGACGCGACGACCACCAGGTCCACTATGTCACTCATGCCAGCCGATCAAAGAAGCAGATTTGGGTTAGCTAGTCAAAGTACCTATGCGAACATCTGTCCACCATAGCAGCCGACCACTGTCCGCTCCTGAATATACCGATGCAGAAGAGCGGTCGAGGTAAGTCTGTCTCCGCGCGACCCTATCCGAGACTAGACTGAATTCAAAGACGGTGCGAAACAAAGATCCATGCATTCCATCCAATATACACCAGCCACGGTGCCCTTTCCCGTGTCGTCTTTCAGAACATGTGAGTCAAGCATTGCTTCGCCGATCGACAAGCTGACGATGGACAGGAAACCGTTGACAGCGCACCAGACCGAGTCCGAACCAGCTCTCCGTCAGTGCTCCGCGCAGGGTCATGGCTTACACGCCATTTCTGGCCCTATCACTTCAAACCATGCAACATGTCCTATGTGAAATACTTCAAACTAAGGCCGCGGGCAAACAGCAGGATGCATAAGCCCCAGACGTTCGTTGTGCACGACGAGGTGAGTGCAATATCACGCCTCCTGCTGCGCCGGGTCCGATGATTTGTGCCAACTCTGTGCCGGAAACACAAACACCACTGACATCTCTATGCCATTGCAGGAGCAGCCAGCCCATCGCCAACCGCGACAATTCTTGTGGCGAGTAACCTATTCCCGCCGAGTCAGATAAGACCCAGGGCCCGACGCGCCATCGCGTCTTCCCCTTCCTCACCGCCTTCACACCATGAACAGTGGAGTGCCTCAACCTCTCGCTGTTTGCACGAAGCTGTCTCCTAATACAACTGTACAAATTTTTGTCACACGTGAGTTCGTCATGCGCCTTTGCCGTGTTGTGAACTTGTCGGTTCATCCAGCGCGACTTCTCGAAGCGACAGCCGGAGAGTGTGACGAACCTGGATACAACATGGCATATTGGTGACTGTGTCGCAGAACCGATTTGGCAGTGATCTTGTTGGTAAGCAGGTATGATCACGAATCTTGTTGATTATCTGTCTCAAGCATACACTCGGATTTTTCATGAACGGCGTAAAGTACAGCACCTTGTCCAACTGAATCAACACTTGCTGACTCGGGTCTCACCTCAGGAAGACGCCGTCAGATTCCCATCACCCGAATGCAAAGCGAGCAAATCTCTTATCTGCTCGGCCTCCCCTACACCAATTCCATCTATGCTTTGTTTCTTCCACATGACTACTGGTGGTATCGACGAGTCGCTACCTCGACCTTCTCCCAGTCGATTTGGTTCATCAGATCATGCGTTGGTATGCCTACCTGATGCAGACCCAATGGAGCGCATAGCAGTGTCTGTCTCCCGGCATTTAGACCCTCTCATGGAATGGCCTACTTGCGGCTTGGATCCCTGGCGTCCTGTGGGTGACCATCCTTGTCGTCAGATGGCATCTAGCGTCTTTCGAGCCTGAAACCCCTAAGAAACCGGGAGAAGCCAATGCTTTGTCTAGCTAGAGCCATATTTTCGTACTGGCGAGGTTGTTAGTCGGGACTGCTTGCATGGAGAAGGTGAGGCAAATGTCCCGTCATTTCTACCCGAATCAACTAACAATAGCCAGTCAGCTTCAAATCGATGGACAAGACCGAGGATGGCCAAACGATTGAGAGGACCCATGACCCAAGAACCACGCCTGATAGAGTCCCCCTGATTCCTCTTCCTCTCCTTGTTGCTCAGCTTATCGACATATTCGAGCGAGCGGGAACCACTCGGACATACACGGAGCTGCATGCTATCAGGATTGTTTGCTTTTCCCTGTTAGACAGAAGCTTGGCGATTTCATTCCTATGCCTGTGTTTTTCTATCCAAGCCCGAGCACTACGTGCAAAGCCCATACACCTTGAATGTCACAGCAGCTGGATGTCAGTCAAGTTATCCAGTATCCTTCATCCATTGAGACCATCGTCTAACATATCGCAATTGGAGGCGCAAGCACGTCTTGCCAGCAAATCACCGATTCCTCTACGTCTCTGAGCTCACTGTGCTTTGACCATCTATGATGTATTTCTCAGCGCCCAAGACGATATCTGGCATATCACTGTTGAGCAATTCACCATGAAGGTGGGTTTGATATCTGTAACAGCACCACGAGAGCCCTCGGGTTGTAGGACCTCTGAATATCCCGTACAGCCTAACTGAATTATCTACCCCAGTAAGCGCTCATGTTATATTTGCTTGGGGAGGATTTGAGCGGATGCCTGCTAGGGTCACACGTGGATGAGAACACCCCTGTACAAATCACCAGGTCCCGAGCGCTGATTGGGGAGAGTGTCTTGCCAGTTCTGATTCAGATGGCTCGTTGGGCCCCGATCAGAAATCAATCATGCTATATCAGCAGCGGAGCATGATTTATTGCATGTAGTGGGGAATATGCCTCACGGAAAGTAACGACCGTTTCTTCATCGCTGTAGTGGACTTCTACGAAAGACTGGTTCAATTTACTGGCGGGATATTATTCACAGAATTGCGACGGCTCCTACATGTAGAAGGAGCGGATCAGATATTCCAGAGCCAAAGCTACCAATGACATGTTGACCTCGAGAGAACGAAACTCTCACTCTCGTGGTCGCTCTATGATGTAGGCATTCTAGTGTAGAATAGGTTCGAGTGACTAGCAATAGTCATCTCAAGCAATTTCTTTGGCGACGCAAGAAACTGAACTGAGCCTATCACATAAGCATCTTGAATTGAACCCATGATCAGATTTTCTAGACACATCGCATGGGTCTACACTTCGTATTTCTGATCTTGAGTGTACAGTATATTGCGTGATCAGAGTTGCACAATTCTTGAATTGGATCATCTCAATTGAGTTGGAGGCCGTAGTCAAGACGTGACCAACAGGGATCAAAATTGCTTTGCAGGATCAAAAAAAGAGCAATAAAAGTTTCTATGATGTGGGGGACATGGCAAGAGAGACCGCGTTGCCTCTGTGAGACGGTGACCAGTACTCCCTTTACGGAGGTTAATAGGGATCACGAGTGCAATAACCCAGAATCCAATATAATTGGGCAATCTGTATACCGCCTCCTTTTCCGCCCGTATTTTATATCCTGTTCGCCCTACCTTAATTAGGTTAGCCACTATGGCGAGGAACAGACTTACAGTGACTGGACATAAGTTTCTACACTGTCTGGCCCCATCCCCTGATTATATAATATACTGCCAGTCAAAAACCTCCATGAATTCATACTATGGAATCTAATACGGTGTATACCGCCTCTGGCTCCCAATAATAGCTTCCATCCGCTGCGGAATCGTCTCAAGGAAATGCTCCCATCCTAGGTTTGCGTCGCTTACTATTTTTTAGCATGGTTCTATACTACG